ATAGGGATTATATGTTTGACCGTTTTTTATATTCTACTTTTAAAAATAATAATGAATTGTTCTACTAAACAAGTTTAGCATCAACATATAAGGAGGAAGCATATTGGATTATTATGCTATTAGCAATATTGTATATACAATACTGCATAATAGTATCTAAGACTTGAAATAAGTATAATTATCAATTAAGTAAAGTCAATTTAGCTGCATTCAGAATTTGTAATATTCAAGTTAAGTTGTAAATTACAATATTTAGCTTCAAATAGTTTGCCACGCCTTGTACAGGCGCCGCCCTACACAAAAGTAAGTCAAGCCTGCTTATCTCTATCTACACTATCAGTACAGAGCAATACTAGTTTAATACCACTTGTCTATTGCAGAATAGAGCTGACGAATGTATTGTGCCTATGTGTACAATTGTTTTATATTTTTTAATTTTTCCAAATATTTAAGTTTTTTTATTTTTTAATAACAGCATTTTCTTTTGATTGTCGATGTACCTTGTATTGTAATTGTAGAAATTTCTGCTTCTTCACAACAGTATTCGTACTCTTGAATCATTTATCAACTCACCAAAGTACTGTTCCTAATAGAACTTTTTAAGTTTGTCCACAATCTTATGTATATGATGGTAAGGTTGATTGTTATTCAGGCATTGATGAAAACCATGAATATGATTCAGATAGTTACATACATAATTCATGTAATAAATACAAATATTCTGATAAGAATTGCTCATTCAAAACTTCATCACTTGGATTTTCACTTACAAATATGTTTCTTCAAAAAGAATTGTCCTGATGGAAGTGATAAACTTTTGTATCCAACTCCAACAATTCAACACATCCATTGTCAGCTAATTCACATCTTTCAAATGGTTTGTGGCGACTCTTCAAAGACTTGCCAAAGTGTAGACCTAGGCAATGCAACTTTTGAAAATGTACAATATTTGAAATTAATAAAATTCATTGGTGAAGTAATAAAAAATGTGACTATTCCCAAAATTCTCAATTATATATCAGCTTTGATTACAACTGCTGGATGTATCTTTTAATAAAAAGTTGGTGTCTTTAAAGAGAGATGATTTTGAAAATGTTCCAAACTTACAGAGATTATTCATTGTCAAGTGTAAATTGAGAATATTGGAGGAAAACATCTTTGAGCCTCTTAGGGGTAAATAAAAAAAAATAAACAAAAAATATTTCTCATGATAATTTCTATATTTTGAATATTGAAAATCTTATTATTTATGTTATTTAGTGAATATCAAAAGTTTATATAAATTGTTGAAGAATTAGTTATAATTTTCATATAGGTAGCCATGTTTAGTGTTTGGTTAACTTCTAAAAAATGATGTTGTACCACTTCTTACATTTTGCTTTATACAGTGAACAAAGGTATGGATTGAAATCCCTACGACAGCTGGACATATAGGAGTAATATTTTCGTGTCGTGACTGGAAAGAAAATATGTCATTATTCAAATATTTTTTTGAAATAGGTTACATTACCCTTTTTTGTTGTAAAAAAATTGACCCTGCTCTAAATGTCAACAAGTGTCCATTGTGCCTGCTGGTCTTGTTGGTAATCTAAAAAGGAATCTCATATTGGTGTCACTTCAAAAGTTACCATTAACTGATGGTGGACACCAATATGGAAATTGTAATTCATTGGAATAGATCACTTCAACATTAACACTTTTAGGATAGCTCCTATATGTCTTTATCCTATGACCAAGAACATAGAGAAAACATGATACAGCTGTCAATGTAATTAGTGTCCAAAATACCCTTAGAAAGAGTTAAAGTAATGTAAAATTTTGAATTGTTTGTAAGGTTGTAGTCTATTTATATTTTCATACCTTCTTAACGAATTTTTTCCACCTGTAATGTACTTTACACCATGGAATGCCGTGTCCGTATTGTTTGGGATTTTAAGAGAATATTTCTCTTCCACAATGTTTAAATCAATTGAAAAAAGGTTTTGAAAATATTCCAATTTTTTAACTAACAATCATTCAGATTCGCAATGTCAAGGACAATTTTCTTTTCTAATTAACAGTGTTTGTTTGTTACTCAATTTATTACGATATAGAAAATTGTCAAAGACAAACAATAAGAATTAGTAATTTTAAAATGTCGCGTTCTATGGAATATTTATAGCTCTCCACCTGCAAAAGCCTTTACGCCATGAAATCGAGCAGTTGAGGTAGAGTTGTTGATTCTGGAGAATGCTAATTTCACTTCATACAGTGCGTGTATAAATGCGAATCTTTTTCAATTGGTATTGGTTGAAGAGCCTAGTGAAATCTATTCTCTAATGAATCAATATGTTTGTTATGCTTGATGAAATTATTAACACTTCAAACAATTTTCTCATTTCGACATAATAAATTTTCACCAGTGGTATTCATTTGGAAAGTTCTACTTTCTCTATTGGCAGTTGACCTAGGAAATCTTACTTTTAAAGATTGTCTTTTGCTAGCGTGACAAGTATCTGTTTGGTTATCAAACATAACATGAGATCGGTGAAAAGTTACGGAACCAGTTGACTCGTCATTAACCTTATTACCAATAATACAGATATTTTTCTTGTATTCTTTCGTCTTTTCCGCCAAATTGGCAAACTATTGAATTTGAAACAAACCTACTTGTTTACTTACTTTTAGTCTAATAATGCTACCAATGTATATAAGACTTTTGCCATTGTCTAATGCTGCTGCAATGGCAATTTCTTTCTCATGTATGGCACGCGCAAGTGACTGTGTGTTGGGTATTCCTCCCAGAAAACACGTCAATCTGTTATCTACTAAACGTATATATATATATATATATATATATATATATGAATTAGTCTCTGTTGATATTTGTTTGCATTTGGACTTAACGTAACATTGATTAGCCACATTAAATGCAACTGCAACACAGTTATTATGACTTGAACACAATTGCGTGCAATCAGTTGCCGATTTGTTGTTATATACATTAATATTGTTGTTTTCACAATTTTTGTCTACTCGAAGTCTATAGCCAGGTTGTTCCAAACGACTAAGGAAACATCCGTATTCAGGTTCGTAGCATATATGTCCCTTAGAGCATGATGATAAACTTTCAGAAGCATCTTGAAAATAGTTTGAAAACATTACAAGTTTTTAATGAATGATTAAGGGAAATCTTACCACCAACTTTTAAACGATCATTTCTTGGTATATTCCAGATATTGTCAAGTAAGCAAAAGGAATTTTGCGTTAAAATGGCGAAAATTGTTATTTTTATCATTGTTATTCTCTCTATTGCAGATCAATTATACTCTCCAAATGCACTGACTTTTTATATACTGAGAGAAAACCTGGAATATTTGAAAAATTTACCAATACTAGACTTATTTTTCCATATTTAAACTATTTCAGCTAATAAATAATCTAGTGTTTTCGTAAATACTGCAAACTGCCATTTAAGCTGGTCATACTCAATTCACACCTTACAACTGTTAGTAATTTAGCAGACACTCAAATTTTAACATTGCTAACTGTAGAACTGTGCTGATGTAAGCCTAATATCAAATGAATGCGTGGAAAGGGATGGATCTACTGTCTGTGTATGTACTGGAAATTTGTGTAATTCATCACCAAAGAATATGCCTAATTGGCTTATGTTTCAAATGTTGTTTTCAGTTCTACTGTACTTAATGAAGTGAATTAATACATTGAAACTTCCTTCTGAGAGAAAAAAAAAGACAGTTATCTATTGCGTAATGATTGAAATAGCAAATATTTAAAAGTTTGAGTAGAAGTAGTATTAGTTAAACTTTCTTTTGGCTTTCCTTCATAATCAAATCTCTACTTAACAAGATAATATCCATTTTATTTCTACCAGTAGAATATGTATTAATACTCTAAATGAGCTCCAATCTAACAGTACTCTTGTAGTCAGGGTTAGAGAGGGGAGAAGTGTATCTCCTTTTATACACATACCAAAGCTTGGGTTCATTTTGTCAAAGCTTTGCAAAGTCATATCTTTCAAGTTAATATAGAATTGATTACAAGTTTCATTGAATTTTAATGCTGCTGAATTATTATTATTATCAATATCTATTTCAAATAATCTCTCCAATTCCTTTAAATGGAATATCTGTAAACTCATTGAAATCTCCATATAACATATTTGCCATTTCAGTTACATCAATCCAAAATTGATGGAAATTTTGATCAGGTTTCTTGTATACACTTAGGTGAAAATGTTCCATAAATTTAATGCAAACTGTTTTCATTTTATCCATTTCACATATGCTTTTTAGACAATTGTCAAGATTTTGAAGGATAACACTCTTCTTCCTTTCACTTGGTCCAAATAATTTTTCCATAAAATAGTATGGAGAGAGGTCATTAACTATTTTCACTATTTGAACGATATTTGATGAATTTAGGGCATTTTTCATTCTAGAAAAGTTATATTCAACAGTATTAATGTCATTATTAAGTGTTTGAATATAATTTTCAAAATTTGAAATATTTGTATTAAAAGTTGAAAATAATTTGAAAATACTTTTAATATTTTGTAAAAGTAAAATAGTTTTTGTTGTAAAAGGAGAAATAAATTTTTTATTCAAATTGAAATTTTTATCTCATGATAATCATTTGTCAACTTTTCCATTCTCTTTAAATTTGTATATAACATTTTATCAGCAGCAAATTCTGATATTGCTGAAAATGATAGATTAGGTTCATAAATAATTTGGTCACATGGTACAGGACATGAACAATCCATCATAATGTTATCATCAGTTTTTGCTTTCTCCAATAATTCTTTTACACATCCATAATTCTGTGACAAAGAACAAATAACCTTTTCTGTTGAATTTGAATATTCTTTTAATATAGTTTTAGCTTCGAATGTTGTGCAATTGCACATAGTTTGAACCATTTTCCAATAGCAATGATCTATACATTCGGCGTGTGATTTGTATTTTGATTTTATACATTCGCCATATGGTGCACTTAGTTTATGAGATATCAATTTGTTTGATTCCAATGAGTGTATGCATTCCGGCCACAACTGCAAATCCTAAATCCGACATACGTGGTTTTTTATAATCGTTGTGCAGGAATATCTTAATACCAGCGTCGTTTTCCGGTCCAGGCATATAATCGTATTGTTCAATGTTGAATAGTAATGACAAGGCTTTATTCACGCCAGGCTCGGTAACAGTTAAACTGGTTGGCGGATCCTGGGAAGAAGGTGAATTGAATGTATAGCATATTCCATATTCAGTGATTGTTCTTGAAATATATTCAGGTTTGCAAGGCTTATCCATCCAATAGCAGCTGAATATGAAATTTGTTTATTTACGTCCAGTATAGTGTACAACTTTCGTTCTATTTTATTGTTATACTATTATCTATAACTTACTTAAAATGATTATACTTTCTTTAAAGCCCAGTCTGTAGCATTGAGTTACTTATTTTTGAAAAGAGTTTTGGACTGTGTACACAGAGTAACACATTGAGTATTGTAAAGACTTTCATTTTGTAGGAAAGGGAATAAATGATGGAACCAAAATTGAATTGACAAAGAACACTGAAAAGATGATTGTTTAAAGTGTTACACATCACAAGACATTGTTTGTCACGTGGCTCTTAACGCTTCAACTTTTACTGTAAAATTGACTTACACAACAGAGATGTCTTTAATTTTTATACGTTAGCATATGTTTATAGTAAAGAATGTTAACTGGTGTAGAAAGTTTATACTCTTGCATTCTATATTGGAACTCTGGAAAAACCTCTCTTTACTAATAACTATTGTCTACCTCTTCTTTATCTTTAAAATACAAAACAAACTGGAATTCGTATTCTTTCAACCATTAGATCTCTGAGCACAAAGATGCTTTTCTAAGATGGTTGTTGAAAACCTGTATTAAAACAGCCAAATGTCTTTGACAAGTCTTTTTGATATAAATACTCAAGTAAATTTAGATTGAGTAAATGTCTAAAATCAGGATAGAGAAGAAGGAATTCCAACTAGAACTAGAGAATGCAAAATCCTCCTCCAATAATAATGTACAACTTTTGTTCTATTTTATTGTTATACTATTAGCTATAACTTACATATAACCCACTTGAGGGAATACAATAACATATGGCCTAATACAGACCTTGGTTTATCATACTTAAGATTCATCCTTAAGTGCCATTTAAGCTTTGGCCAAGTTACAATTGAATTAGTTTAGCCAAGGCGTGGTCAAGTGTTAATTGAATTAGCCTTCCTAAATGTTGAACCTTGTAACATCCTCTTACTAAACATAAATGTAAACTAGACAGTTTGACAGTCATGAAGTGGTGATTGGACATAAGAGAATAGTCTTCAAGTATATAACTCCTCACTGCTTCACTCCAATTGGCTAACCTCAACCTGGGAGGATGAACTGGAACCAACACCCACTGGGATCTTTCTACTTCCTCAACATTGAACACTAGTTTGATAACTTGGCAACCTACTGTTACTCACTACTTACTCTGCTATTGAACTTTCATATTGTTACTTGCTTAAGTATTATTTTCAATAAACCACTTGAATTGAAACACTTTGTTTAAAGGTTCAAGTAGAACCAGTAATGTTATAAGTTGCAAACGCATAAATTGGCAAGACCAAAGCAGAACACCATTTTTCAACCCGAAGTCTAACATAAAAAAATCAGGTTTATGAACGTTTTCCATGTAAACCTTGGATAGCTATTGGCTGATGAACTATTAGTTCAAACATCCATAGCATTATCACTTTATTCTAAAATGTTTCTTTATTATCATTTTCTTAGAGTTATATATGATTTTCTTCAGTATTAATACATCTTTCTTTACTTTTCAACAATCTTTTTATTGTTTTTGCTTGAATTGTTATCATTTAATAATATAATATATGTACAATATTCAATATGAATTATGTTCATCTTCAATTAACTAATCAATGGATCATATACATTTTGTACACTTTTTGTTTCATATAAAACCACAAATTTTCTATAGGGTTTAGATCTGGTGAGTATGGAGGCCAATCAAGGACTTGAATCTCGTTAACTGGAGGGATATCTATAGTTACATTGGCAGTGTGTGGTGGCGCATTATCCTGCTGTCAGATAAAGTTCTTGTCAGTTTTCTCCTCAACATAGCAAATATTATTCCCTGGATAAACTCAGAGTAGACTACTTGTTGGAGACAAATAGATTGTTTGAATCACTGCATTTTAAGGGTCTGTTTGAGGATTGCTTTTCTTAGTAGGACGGACTCTACGATTACTTTTGTGACGGTGATAGTAATGAAGAAAGTAGCAGAATAACACCCCAATTACCAAAAATATGGCGATTGGCCCAATAATAATAAGAATTTCTCTAATAGGTTTATTGGAATGATTTGTCAGATATTGAATAAAGTTTAATTTAAATCCTTTATATCCAGAATTCCATCCATCAGACTTAAATTCAATAAAAATCTGACTGCTATTAGATTTTATTCCTATAGTATTTTTCAACTGTCCGCAAAATTTCCATATTAAATGCTTTCCATCATTTTCATAATAATCATAGATAGCTCCAAAGTCTCTTGAACATTTCGCTGACAATTCAATATATCCTTCTAGGCTTTTAACTTGAATTTGAGATTGACTATCTGTAGTTATTAGCCAACATTCGTGTTGATTATTTCCGTAACCCCCGGAAAAGTAATGCTCAGTTGTTATTTCTCTTTCGATTTCAGTAGCAGTAAGCGATTTCAAGATACAAGCTCCATAATATTTTGATGCATTTTGAATGAATGCTAGTATAATAAAAATTCTTTTACCATAGTTTTAGATTTCAACATAAATCAGACTACTTACTCAAAAAAAACAGAGATTTCGAGACTTCCATTATTTAATACTGTAGCAAGTCTATAGCATTAAAGGATCAATAACCAGTCTAAATTGATTAAAGACTGTAAAAATTGATTTTTGTAAATAGGGCTAGAGTTGTTTACGTGATTGAACAGAAACTGTTTTGATTAGATTAAAAATAGAGGAATTGGAAATCTTTGAAGATCAACCAGACTTTTGTTTATAGTAATCTAAACAAATAATTTTACACTAAAATAGTGAACCTGTTGAAAAACATAGCATTTTTTCGAATCTAAGATAAATTCATAACAAATCAATAAAGATGGTTGATCTGGTTAATCGGGGTCGATGGAAAATGTCCACAAACAAGATGGATAGGAGAAAAAGGATAGCCATTGATTTGTACTGAGAGGGATACCATCTCAGGGTTAGGGTTAGGGTAAAAGCATAGTTTTGTGTGCCTTTTGAAAATTAGGCACAGTGCTGTTTCAAATGTCAGCTGAAAATTCTTTTCTCTTCTTGTTGTATTGAACTTTTGAATAAGACATATAGTTAGTTTTTTAACGTTTCATGATTTTAGAATACTACTCGAATTGGTGCAAAATATTTGGTATTTAAATACTTGAATAAAATAGATCACATTTCACAGAGAAAAGTGGCTATTTAATATATTTGATTAGTATCTAAACAAACACAAAATGTCAAGAATCCTGTGGAAATAAAGTACTGATAGAACTAAACTAACAAAATTATATTTCTACACACATATTAATCAATTTTGAATAATTAATTAATCTCTATGCAAAAATGATGAATAACTGATCAGGAGAATACCATAAGGCTTAGACATTTAGAAGAAAATTGAACGGTTGTCAATTCATTTTATTCCATTTCCCCGGTGCTAAAATTTGTTTAGACTTCAACTTGAGTAAAATCCGAAGCAGTTCAAGATCTTTATAAATAAACATTTGTTTGACAGTTTGAGTTTGTAAATACACAACTTAACAAAGCAGAAGCAGTACAATATTGATTGCCTTTGAAATCAATATAATATATATCTTTGTATTTCAGTTGTTAATTACTTCACAAATTTTCATAATTTCATTTTCATCTTGTAGATTTATGTAAACTGCTTGACACAACTCAAAATGACAGTTACATTGATAAAAACAATTTGTACTATTGCCATTATTTAGATTACAGCTATAAAAATCTCCTTCAAATTTTGCACTTGTTTGATGTTCTAACGGTACATAGACAAAAATACTCTTCGATTTTAGATTTGTTGTTAAGTTACATTGTAAATTTTCACCAATAATCTGTACATGAAGTATTTGATTTTGTTGATTGAATATAGGCCAAGGAAATCTAATTTTTAGATTTGTTTTCGTAATAGTTGTACAAGTTGATATTTGATTATCGAACATGTTGTGTTGTGTTGAAANAAAATACTCTTTGATTTTAGACTTGTTGTTATTGAGTTGCATTGTAAATTTTCACCAATAATCTGTACATTAAGTTTTTGATTTTGTTGATTGGAAATTGGCCAAGGAAATCTAATTTTTAGATTTGATTTTGTAATAATTGTACAAGTTGATATTTGATTATCAAACATGTTATGTTGTGTTGAAAACGTCTTCAATTTATTCTCCTCACTCTTAATCATATTGCCAACAATACACGTTGTATGATCATATTGAGTATTCAAAGCATTTAAATCCAAATCCTAATTGAAGACAAAACTACAATTACCTTTAGTATGGATTTTATAGAAAAGAGAATTAAAACTTACCTGAATCTTTATACCAGTTGTGAGAAAAACCAATGCTTTGTTCTCAGATTGTGCCTGAGATATTGCTGCTTCTTTTTGCTGATAAGTGTATGTACTGATTACTGAAGTATCCAATCCACCTATAAAACATGTTAATCTGTTGTCAGTCAGCCTATGAAATACTAAACGATTGTTTTTTGTTACAAAGTTTGAACAATCTAATTTTAGCCAACACCTCGAGTAGGGAAGGACAACTGCTGCAACACAAGTGTCGATTTTTAAACAAGAATCTGTACATTCATTTAATGAAGATATTGATTTAGAGTTTATATCCTTGTTTGGACAATCTTGAGTTAATTTCCTTTTCTTATAACCAAGAATTTCATTTGAGCTTAAAAAACATCCATATCCACCTTCATAGCACAATTCACCAGTAGAACATATTGCCTCTGTATTTTCTGCATCTGTGTTTATGAATTGTTTAATTAACATAAGGTAATTTGATATCATATAAGTTTTTGATAAAAACCTCCAACTCTTATGCGAAGATCTTGTGCTATATCGCATTCATTACAATTACAAACCAGACAATATGAAAGAAAAAATAAACTTAGAGTATTTTTTACATAAAAGCAAAACATTGCTATCAATTGACAACAAATACACAGCAAAGAAGAGATT